CGGTTAAGTTTTTTGTACAATGATGTTGGGTTTTTGTGTCCAAACGCGTGACCCGAGTTTAAAAACTTTAACATAACAACATAACAAGTGTATTGAAAGAATTCAACTTTAATTTAAAATAAAGATTTCAATTTTCCGAGCACTAGTCAATTAATAAATTATGCAGTTTTATTGTATAAACTTTTGATGTTGGTTCTGCGCAAAAACACTGTGGATGGCGTAGCCGGAGTTATATGCACAAGAAATATTGTATATGTATCTTTTCCAATAGAAGCGGAGCTTCCTACCCTACTCTTTCCGGAAATTCCTTTGCCTATCACCCTTATTGCGAGTGTCGACTAGTAGTAGATAAACGACTCTTTTTCGATTATCGCTTGTCCATGGCATTCTGAATGTCGATTTCTCGTTCAATAAGCGATTGTGAAGAGTTTTTTATCGCTAATTTTTCTACAACTGTTTGTCTGTAGAAGGATGAGCGACAATAAACTATTAACACGCACTTATTGAACGAGAAAACGACTTTGAAAATACCACGGATAATCGATAATCGACTAACAGTCGTTTATTTACTACTAGTCGACAGTCGCAATAGGGGTGTATGTCTTCACTCTCCTACATCAGTACGACCAACCGCGCAAGTTGCCTTTTGTTGCTTATAATTTTTGATCTGTAATTCAGACACATACATGCATATGTATATTTCACAATTTTTTACAACTTCCAGTTCAATTGACTTACTTTTTATCCATTATAGTACCACTTTCTTATGTAAATTTTATAAACGCAAACTCCAACGACTAAAAAACAGCAATAGAAGGATGAGCGATTAAAAAGTATTCACAGTCGCTAATTGAGCGACTAAGCGACACTCGCAATAGCATCGATAATCGATAATCGCTTAATAGTCGTTTATCTACTGCCAGTCGACATTCGCAATAGGGGTGTTTGACTCCCTTTCCAATCCATACTTGGAACGCTCCGAAAACGCTCCTACGAGGTGTTGCTTAGAGAGTCCCTTTTCACTCCATACTCGAAGCGTTCCGAAAACGCTCCTTCGAGGAGTTGCTGACGGAGTCCCTTTTCACTCCATATTAGGAGCGCTCCGCCTTTGGCTGGCTGATTAGTGTAACGACTAAGTTAAGAAACTGTCAACAAAAATTTCCATTTTTTGACATCTGTTATTTGACAACCTGCCGTCGCACCCTTTAATCACGAATTAGTGGACCTTAAACTAGTATTTTATAATCCATTACAGATTTATGTGCATTCATACATACAAAATTTTTATGTAAATACTCTTAGGACATAGAGATAAAAGCGTATTTATTGTTCAATACTGAAACGCTCAGGACAATTGTGTGAAAACAATGCAAATGAGGCAATGGTATTCAATGCATTCTGCTATTCATCGATCTGTCAGAATAGATAGCTGAAGAAGAAGGCAAGCACATAATATACATACATATGTACATATACATGGACTTGCGGCCAGAACAGTAGATGAATTGACATGGAATAATGTGATTAACTGACCCATCAGTAGCTGTCTCTCAAATTAGGCACGCGCTTTATTCTTATTTATTAACTTTATACTTTGCATGCATTTGCGCCACTGAACAGAAGTTTAAGCATACATATTTATGCACCTACATACATATGTACAGAGGTATCGATTGCACCGAATACTATTCTGCCTGTGTATATTTCTAAAATGTGAAGACTATATGTTGAGAAGTTTTGCTCTCGACGTCAATTAACTACAACATTTATACCATTTACTTACCTTATTCGAGTGCAAATACGTGAGCGCTGGCAGGCGACCTTTGGAACGAAAACGTGAACTGCCAATCAACATGGCTGTGTTTGCCTCTTGTGGCACATAAACTTGCCGCGGATACGTGTCGCATAATTCATAGTTCATATTCAAAGTGCACAACGTCCAAATCTCATTTTCTACTCGCATACGCTTGAATTCGTTTTCCAACTTGAAGAAATCCCAACCTGATGACTTTGGAAAATCATCCTTGGCTGGCTGGTAGTTGAAGCAGTATAACTTGTTAATGGAAACTGCAATTAAAAAGCAATCATTTAGATTAATGGACCATAACGTACCCAAGTACTTAGTATAGCAGAAAAATCTACTAGCTGTATGTACGTTACTATGTAAATACGATTATATTTCCATGACATTAGGAGTATCCTTTATTTTCCAACTATAGGTAAAGTTATATGTTCTTACTTATGAAAAAAATGTAAATATACAAAAATACGAATATTTAATTGTTTCTTTTAATGTGTGTCTATAAAACTCTACCGGAGGGCGCAAAAAGTTTTGCATTACGTAATATGTAGAAAAATCGTCGATCCTTTTGCAAAACTGCCCTTTAGCCAGTTTCAAAACCGCTTAAATCGCAATTGTGGCAAAAATGATAGATGAAATACCAGACTTAAAGAAAAACATTTTTTTTTGTTCTTTAAAATTACAGTGCCATAAGATAGGTGATTTTTCAACTAGTCGATGGGCAGTTTTGTAAATTCGTCGGCGACATTTATAAGATTGCCATTACTTTTAAAATTTCATCTACAAAGCAAGCCTCATTGGTCATAAAAACGTGCTCTGAAAAAAATTTGCAAAATCGGATAATGAAAAGATGTGCCTCAATTTACATACTATTGGGCCTCCGAGGACAGTTTTTCCGTTATTCGATTTTGAAAATTGTTCGCAGAGTACGTTTTTATAACAAAACAAGCTTTACTTTACACGCTAATGTACTTTGAGAGAGCTTTGGAATAGTACAAATTTTCGTCGTAGGTGAATTCTAAAAATAGTCAAAATAGATTTTTTTTTATGACAAAACAAGCTTTACTTTACACGCTAATGTACTTTGAAAGAGCTTTGGAATAGTACAAATTTTCGTCGTAGGTGAATTTTAAAAATAGTCAAAATAGATTTTGAAAATTTTTCGCAGAGTACGTTTTTATAACAAACCGAGCTTTACTTTGTTGCTTTACAAAAAATCTGTCTCCTTTTAAATAATGCACACGCTAATGTACATTAGACTGGGTCACCAAAAAAAACTTACTTTGATAGAGCTTTGGGGTAGTAGAAATTTTTATTGTGGGTGAATTATAAAAACAGTCAAAATGGAAATTTCTTTCCAATCTTCTATTTATGAGACGATTAAAAAGTGCAATACAGCGTTGAAAATAAATTTTTGAGTACTATGCATCCTTCTCAGATCCCGTCGACCTAGTGTCCTTTGCCTACTAATAAAAATAAAAAAAATACAAATTCTTAAAAATGTTGTTTTTAAGTAAAATTTTTTAATTATTATTTTTTTCCAGAAAAATGCTAAAAATTCCAAATATGTAACATGTACATATGCAACATGATTACACAGACCTGCGATGGTTTCCCTCTTAGACATCTGCGGGATCCCGCCGGCTCGTAAGGGAATAAACCTATTGATATTCAGAGATAACTCATACGCCATGAGGACTAACTTAAGTAGACAGGCAAAAATGTAATAAAGGGTATGCCTTCTGGGAAACAGTAGTAGCATTTCAGTAAAAACAACATTTGCGTTTATTTTGTTATTGCTTCTGGTCTCTGAAGTGTCAAAGATATAATCAAATTTTTTTTTACTATCGTAAAATATACAGAAAAAAAATATATATATTCGAAAGATTTGTGCCACTTTATTTCTTGTCCGAAGCATCGATCCATGCTTTGCCAAATCCAGAAGAAATCAGCGTTTGTGCTGCAGAGTTAAGCGACCATTCCAAAACCGCCCTTTCTACTCTATTTATGAAAAATGCTTTCGCATGAAAATACATCTTTACAGTTCAAGAATTTTTGTGAAAAATATTAACAATATCTGAAATTTTACATACCAAAAATTTTGAAAAAATTCTTATTAGTTCGTCTACTGCTACAGCCGATTCAATATGTACGCCTTGGTATAGGCTGTATATGAGAGTAACTAACGGAATTTTCAAAAACCTACAATGTACATATGTATGTACCAGTATTAGTCAAACTTCAGATCATAAAGGACACCCCTAATATAAAATGTGAAAACTTGTAACAATGCTTACCAGGTTGATAAAGCTTCATTAAAGAGGTGTACACGTCATGACACTCAGAATCCTTTGGAATTACAAATGTGACCGATAGGAAAGTTTTGCAACGTATCAATAATGGTGAACCCGTTGTGCTTAATGGTAATTTCTCAATATTTGCAATGTGCATGTGTAATATCTGCAATGGGATTAAAAAAGAAAAAAAAAGAGAATTTATTAAAAATCTCTATGTAATTAATAAGACAAATTAAACCCATTCCACAAGTACTTCGAATGATTTTTTATTGAATAAAACACAACTTTTTATAAATATGTACGGTATTTAGGTAACAGTAAAAAAAACTATGTACCTTTCAACCGCACAAACTACAAATCGCTAACATTACGCAATGACTTAATGCGGGGAGAAAATTATACGCCTTCAATACACATAATAATAATTTGCATGCATGTATGTATATGTGACGATAAAATTCGTGACGTCATTTAATAACAATGGTTTACAGCAAAAATGTGCGCAGGATGCCAGTATCCAATTCTCATATAGCTTCACTCGCTGGTTTTGGAAATCGCGTTAGTATTTCTTATGGACAAATTTTCGAGACATTTGCAATTTGCTGTTTACTTCAGCCATTCAGCAGTTGCACAATCTTAAAGCGAAATGTAGCAAACGAAAGTTAAAAGAATTCCCAAAAAACTTTTTGTGTGTACATACTTTTCGGTAGGCCTAGTAAGTGGTTTCTAAGGAATTTATTGATTGTGTTATTTTATGAAAAAATTAAAAAAATGTCGAAATTTAACATTTACATTTTTTGATCACTGCACATTTTCATTAGACTTTTACAACTTTTTTTATTTATCCAACGATTTTCTTCGCTAGTAGGTTTTTTTTGTAAATCCGAATGAAAAAATTTACTAAAAAAAATTCTGTTCTTTTATTTTTTTTCTGCTATGTTTAAATTTTTTATTTTTTCATAAATCTGGAAATGGTTATAAATTTCTTAAAAACTTCTACGCCTATCGAAAAGTAATGTATACACCGTTTATGGGGAATTACTTTTCATTTGCTACTTTTTGTATTAAGTAAGACCAACTAATGAACTATTTTTTTAAATAAATAATAAACATCAAAAAAACTAAACAAAAATAAGTCAACACATCCCGAGCTTGGCTCCATTATATGAGAGGTGGGCGTGGTTATCGGCCGATTTCAAAATTTATCGACGCATTTATTAAAGGGGTAAAAGACATGGCTTACACGGTCAAAAATTTGGGTTTAATTTTTAAACCGCGCTGGGACTACTGCCTTTTTTAATCTTTTATAGTCTACTTTTTAAACCAGTCAATAGTTTTAAGCAATTTTTAATATATTCTGGTTTAAATTTTAGTCCAGGCAGTCGAGAAAATGATGTTTTGCTATGCGTGGTTTAAAATTAAAACCAAAAAGTTCGTGGTTTAAAAATCAAACCAAAATGTTTTATGTAATTTATTTTCTAGGCTTCATATATAGAAAATTTGGTTTAAAATCTAAACCGAAATAGAAAATGTTTGCTTTATTTTATATGTCTCTCTGAGAGAGAGAGCAAATCTTATGAACTGACGGCATCAACACAGCGAAATGTGCGGTTGCTACAAACTCAACATATGAAAGCACATTTACATGCATGGCTATAGCTGAGTGTGCAAAGATGCTTGATACAAATGATTACTACCAAGGCTGTCCGGGTTCAATCCCCATCATACGGAGCCTGAAAGTTAAGATTTTTTTTTTTATTCTTAATTATGAAAAAGCTTTCCTGAAGTATAACGTGAAGCAAACGAAATAGAAAATGCTTGGGTTTAAAATTTAAACCGAACTGTTTAAATTCTAAACCCAACATATGTGCTCTCTTTTTTTTTTAACTTAGAAGGTTTGTATTTGAAACGAAATTTAGTTTGGTCATATATGTAGTCCAAAAAGTAAACAAAAAATTTAATCCGAAATTTTTAACCGTGTAATAGATCCTTTTCGGCATATCTACTTAGACTCCTTTAAGCTGTTACAAAAACGTTACGTGAACAAAATTATAATACCCTTTTTGTATCTTGGTCTCTGAGTTCAACCCTAATTATGGGCTCAAAAATGAACCAGAAAAGCAGATATTTCCCTTCTTAGAAGGGCTGGCCAATACGAGTTCAAGTTAGGAGTCATATAAGAGTCTGAACTTTGAACTTTGTTACTTTTGTTCAACTCAGAATGTATGACACCAAATGCATATACGTAAACAACTAAATTGATGGCATTAACTCCGGCAGCAAGCGCCATGGCGTATACGTAATATAAATACATCTTAAAACTTGCCATACGCCTACCCGCCGCATTGCTTGCGGTGTATGCACAGGCAGCAGGGCAGCAGAATTTAATGACGTCCACAAATATGTTGAATCTTTTAACGAGCAAGTTTGTTTTGTGCTGCGAATTGCTTTGAACTTAGCGCAATAATTACAAGCTACTCAAGCGTTCAAGATGCATTGTGCCATTCCACTTTCAATTAAAAATCTATTCATACCAGTTCACTACTTAAAGCGCTATTCTGAACGTTACCCAATATTTTGTGAATGACAAATTTTTGTGACCAGCGCAGTAGAGGGCTGCATGAATGCATTCAAAACGGCTTTTGAATTATTCATATACAAAACGAATGAATGAGTTTGGCTTCAAATTTGTTTGAATTTGAGTGAATACCTGTTGTGATATATGTGCCGACATTACAATATTCAAACAAAGTGAAAATAAATTGAATTGAAATAAATGACAATTTTTTTTATGTACCCACTGGGAAAATAGGTAAGCACCTTACGAGGTAAGCCATGTTTTCTTTCAGTTTTTAGTACCAAAATTGTCATCATGACCAGCGTAATCTACTAGTAAAGCACAAAATGAACACCTCCGGCGACACATTACGTTGTCAGTTGCAAAATAACGTGCAGCCGAAGTTATTTCCAAGCACCGAACTACTCCGAGCGACTGCTCTGCATTACACGTAACTTACTTTGTAAAGCGACTCAGAAGTATGTTTGATAGCAAATGTACATTCTAAATTCCTACTTACATAAGGCGGCCATGCCTTTGTAAAAGTAAGGGACGTTCGGCAGGGAAATGGTAATGACTGCCAGGTGAAGAGTAAGTTGCTAATAAGGTATTATTACGTGCTCCTAATTCCCACTGGGATATATCCAAAAATATTGTTTCTCTGCACATATGTACAAACATACATATGTATGTGTGTATGTATTGCTGCGCTCCTATTACAATACGAACAAATTTGTTTGTAGAAAAAACTTTAACCAAAATGAGTTGGGATGATTGAATGTTTTCCATTCACACATTCACATTCTGCCATTTGAAGGTAGAAAAATTAAAACAAAATGTATATTCATAACTTACAAAATTCGAATCGCTGAGTGTTTTGTATGTGAAGTAAAATATTCAAATCTAATGTACTCTGTTTGGCTAGAAGTTTGAATGAATTCATGCAGCCCTCTACAGCGCAGAATATACCTGTTAAAGTCAAGAAAAAATTAAATTTGTGTTTTAAAATTATAATTTGCTTATCAACGATAATGATCATCGTTAGGCAATATGTACTACTTATTAGAGATTTTTTTTTATTGACGACATGTACATACATTTTAGTATTTTTAGCAATTTGCACGTAAAGCCAAATATTAAAATTTTTCGCACTTTTTGCTAATTATTTACAATAAAAAAATATTATTATTTTTTTAAGTTCATCTATAGAAAATGCGGAAAATTAAATTGTCTACAAATTTGTATGTAAACGTTTTTTACGAAAAAATGCAAAATAAGCTTGCAAGTCGCAAAAAACTAAAACAAAAAAACCTAAAATCCAAGATGGCGGAATGTTTCCATAAGTATGAAATTTAGGAGCAAGACTGTAGTTCTATGGTCTACGTGTCAAATAAACAAAGTAAACTGCATAAAAATGTCACTACTACAATTTGTTTTCTTCGTGCCAATTTGATCTTAGTTTACTGGGCTAAAAAGAAACCCCAATAAGTTTAAAAGTTGGGGAGGTTTAAAAATACTGTAGCCATTTTTGACATCGGTGCCATTAAAATATATATAAATTTCCCACTGTTTTATAGGCAATTTTGACCACTTTTCATGAATTTGCTGAATTTTAGGGCCTTTGAGGCACGTCTTTCCTTAATCCGTTTTTAAATTTTTTTTGCAGGTCACGTTTTTATGACAAAATGTATTTATCTACGTTCTTTGGTAGCTTCCTGAAATCGGTAAATAGAACGACGAGTGCTTAATTTCGAGCAACTACTAAACATTCCAAGCACCTGAAGCATCCTGCGAAACCACTTTGCTAAAGTTAAAATCTAATAGAATTGAAAACACTTTCAAAGCCGCAATGTCACGAACTAAATCTAAGGTCACAAGTGCCGTGAAGTGGCCAAAAGTTGTAAATCTCTTTTTTTTTGTTAACAGAAAAGTACGAGTAAGTAAAAAAGCACTTCCGCCCTCAGTGCTCATTTGCAATGATTCCCTAAGCTTCCTGTATAGCCACTTTAAAACACTTTGATCCTGCAATGCAGCTGCTAGTGACCTACTTGGCAACACTTCCCCATACACATTGATGAAATTGCTGCTGCACCAAAGTTGTAATAAGAAAGCCCAGTTTCGAAATGCATAGTTTCAACGAAAAAAAAACAAAAAAAAAACATTAAGAGGAAAAAACGAATTGTTGACTGAACTTGTTGTGCTCGCATGTGAACTCAATAGAAATGGCTATGATGCAACTGACAGACGCCGACGCGTCATACAACATTTTATATGTATGTATGTAAGTACGAAAATGTATGTATGTATGTATATGTCATTAGGGTGGTCCAAAATAAGTAAAGTGGGAATTTTAATCCTCTTAGGATAGTTCTACATTGGAAAAATAAACCCCTATTTGTTTATTTTTAAATTAAATAATATTTAGAGGTCGCTCAAAGTGCTAAAAGTTTTCCAAGGATTTTATATGGAAAAAATTTTGTAGAGATGGTATGGAATACTTGAAAATCAATATTTTTCGATCGGAAAACTCTGGCTCCCTTCACGAGACTTCCACTAACAATACCTCATTTTTTATTTAACCATATTTTAACACTAAAGATTTTTTATTTATACCCCATTGCATTTTCTGAGGGGTTTTGGGGGACCTATCGAATATAGTTACAATGAAAAAATGTTTAAATAAATAATTGGATATTATTATTGGGAATCTCCTGAAGAGAAACAGCGTTTTCCGATCGAAAAATATTGACTTTCAAGAATTCTATACCATTACGATTTTTTTTCATATAAAATACATGGAAAACTTTGAGCGCTTTGAGCGACCTATCCTAGTGGGTGAGAGCATAAAAGATTCCCGCTTTACTTTTCCACATGCATTTTTGGACCACCCAAATGTTTATGCACATAGATTTTTCGTCTTTTCGTGACCACAATTTGATTCTTTTAGTATTCTTGTGCGGTTTGAAGTACACTTGAGTTTTGTGGCGTCAAGGGCAGTATGAACTGTACAGCAGTCGCAGAGCTTTTGTACACACTCAGTAGCTATTTGTACATACATATGTATACACGCTTGGATCGATTTAAAATTTTTCTATAGTTTTAAACTTGTAATCTTTAATGTTTTTATTCGTAAAAAGTGCAATGAAATCACCAAAGCAGCAATTCGAAGGAGACATGTTTCTTTACTGTACATTTGTTAATCAAAAATTTATCGGTTAAAGGGTAAAACGAACGTTAACACGAAGAAAATTCCATAGAGATTCCTTATTGATTTTAAATTCTTAAATTCTTATTGATTTTATTTATAAGAAAATCTTTTAAAAAACCATTGAAAAAATATACTCGATTTCATCATTTAAAAAGAAACACTTCTTATGCCGAATTTCTACTAAATATTGGTGCCCGTTAAAAAATGCCAAGTGGAAATGAACTTAATGACTATTGGTATGTATTAACTTCACAGTAAGGGTGGTGCCAAATCCCGTTTTTCGTTAGTCGATGGTGTTCCGGCGAAAAAACTCTGAGATTTCGGTTAAGAACACATCTCGCGCGGAGCCAGAGTCCTGCGTGCAACGCTTGAGGGTACAATATAGGCTTGAAACGGATCTCAGCAAATCGATAAAAAAATTGTTCATATGTGAATATTTTGCACTGCAAAATTTGCTAGCATTTCTCATTGAGAGAGAATACTTCAAAACTTCCAGGAATATCGTTGCTGCATAATTCTTGGTCGACTTTCAAACGAACACACGTATATATTGTATCCAGTATTTCTAGGAATTGTTTTTCCTGCCCGATTAAGTTTACCATCTGATCGAGATAACTCTATAGCAGCTGTATAGTGCAGCTGTAACATTTGACAGCATAGCGTTCAACCATGTACCAAACGAGCGGGTCGCCGGCAAAAGCTAGTTGTCTTTTTAAACCACATCATTAGATGCATATGTATGTACATACCCATGTCTCTTTGTTGCTATCCGGTTCCACAAAAATCAAATGTGTTGCAGTTAGATATAGCGTACCGACGGTGGGATTCTTAGCATTGTATCGATCAATCATGCGTACATTTTCAACCTGCAAAATATGGAAAAAAAATCATAATTTAAAATATGCTTAGATCGAATAATATTTAAATATCGTAGACTAAAAAATTAGATCCGGAAATACATATGTACATATGTATTAATCTAAGAGCCAGTGAACAGCAGACTGCATGTAATTTACCAAAGCTCAAATTTCGTTCAGTCGAGCCTTAATACCACCCCTACTTGGAAGGGAGACTAACTAAGCCCGGAAACGGTCCATACGGCGTCACACAGGTCGCCAAGGGAGAAAATTTACACCAACTTCGAAAGTATTTTAATAAGTTTGGCATTTAAGTATTTTGACATTCAATGTTATTATAGGTTTGTTCCACAAGCTACTCGAAGTCACTTCGAGTTAGACATACGCGTTCCACAAGTAAGTTTTAGAGTTTATTTGATATACGCTAATAGTTTGAACTTTGCTCGGGTTTTTCTACAAGTAGCTTGTAGAACAAACCTTATTATTCGAAAATAATAATGGCAGACAATTACGGCGTTTTGAGATCATGGCAGGCATTTTTGAAAATGTCAAAAAAAAAAATAAAAAATTCAAAAGTATTTTAACAAATTTGAAATTTTAATATTTTACTTATTATAGATAGTATTAGAAGGCTGTATTTATTTATCAGGGTAGACGTTCTGTCCGGTAATACAACCCAGCAGACAGCGATACTTAACCTATAGCCCGAACACACGTACACATTGTATAATGTACACTAGACCGATACGATAGAAACAACTTTGCAACTTTTAAAGCTTACTTCAAAAGGCTTTCACGGCCATAAAAATTTTCGTCTTTGGCGAATCCTAAAAACACCCAAAATCTTGGTGAGTCCAAATCAAGTTTTATTCTTAACTGTTTTATCTATTACTCGGTTCAAAAGTGTGATACATGTTTGGAAAAATAGTTCTGAGTAGTAAAATATTCATGTTAATGTTAATAGGTGACTCATACGCCATGACATCCGAGAGACTTATGAGGTACTTTAAGGGATGTCATGGCGTATGAGTTATCTATTAGCATGAATATTTTATGAAGGGTACAGTCGTATTTAATGGAGTATAAATTGAGTCCACTAAGATTACCGCTGTCTGCCAGGATGATATTACGAATGCCGTAATATTTGGCAATATTAACAAATTTTTGGTTGATTTTTCTCTCAGTGTATAATAAGTAAATTATTAAAATTTCAGATTTGTTAAAATACTTTTGAATTTTTTATTTTTATGACATTTTCAAAAGTGTCTGCCATGATCTCAAAACCGCCATAATTGTCTGCCATTATTATTTTCGAATAATAATAACATTAAATGTCAAAATTCTTAAATGGCAGACTTATGAAAATATTTTCGAAATTGGACTAAATTGTCTACCTTTGCGACCTGCGTGACGCCGTATGGACCGCTGCCGGGCTTAGTTAGTCTCCCTTCCAAGTAGAGGAGGTATTAAGGCTCGAATCAACAGAATTTGAGCTTTGGTAAATTTCATGCAGTCTACTGTTCACTGGCTATTAGACTATATGTATAACTGCTTGTAGATCATACAGGATTGCAATTAATATAAAAGCAATTATAACAGACGTTTTTTAGTTAGTGTATATAATAATAAAAAATATGGATATCTGGGCGCAGAGGTTTTCGACGTCTTTATAACCCAACCTAACCTAGGAATTTGGTCCATTATATATATTTATTTTGTTGCCATATATTTAGGGATGCAAATGCTATATCGATATTAGCTATATCGATGATTTATTGGTCGATATTGATATTTTTATCGGGATGTTTTGCAAACCGATATATAGACATCGATGATATTTTTTTTCTCGATACTATGATATTTATATTTGGACGGACTTTCTGTTTGTGCGAAAAAAGACGCATAAATAAACTTCAGCGTAGAAATGCGTCTAAACCTAGTCGACGGCGAAGAAAAACGCGTTAACCGCGAGTAACCGAGGTTTGGGGAATAATGCTGAAGTGACGGTACTTGGCTAGGTATAAATTTATGTTTACGAGTCTTTCTTCGCCATCAACTAGGTTTACGCGTCGTTTTTCGCCGAAGTTCTTTTACGCGTCTTTTTTCGTCAATGCGTCCTCTTTCGCCGTCAAAACGATGACACCCCTTTATTCGTGTCTAGTGACAGATGTATGTAAATGAAAAAAATAAAAAAATAAAAAAATGTTAAACCGATATTCAATATCGATATAGTATCGATATGTTCGGTCGATATATCGATCAGCCGATATTTTTTTTGGTTAATATCGGTATCACCAATATCGATGATTTTATGAACGATGTTGCATCCCTTCATATAGTAGTTAGTCAGAAAGTACGAGAGGAGACGATGGTAGACCCTGTTCCGATATTTGTTAGTAATATTAGTTAATAAGTTTATTTCGACTATGAGGTAACTTAAAATATATTGCCTTCATTTCTTATTAACTAGCAAAAGCTTTGCTCGATAAATGTGTTCATTGATAGTCCCCTCCAATTTCGTCACTGAAGTAGCTTTATGCTTTTGCTTATAATAGCTTGTGAGAATAAGCAATTTGTCATCTTGTTTGTGTTGAAATCAATTTTAAATAAAGCTGACAAAGCGATTGGAAAAAGTACTTAGAGAAAGAGGAAAATGTTTGTACATGTACACATTGGTAAACACTGAGTTATGCACACAGGCAACGAATCATACATACATATGTACTAATGTCTAATGCCGAGAGAATAGTGGATTAAATATGCAAATTGATAACAGAATGTTTAACGAAATGTGAAAGTTTGATAGCGATCAGCGGCATGAAAAGCTATCAATTTTGAATGCCCCTTTGGGGAGTAACAGAAAATGCATTATTTGCTAGTTGATAGCATATTGAACTATAGGATTAATAAAACTATTTGATTCACCTACTGATAATGTAAATTTTTTATTACATTTCCGAGAGATAATGCTATATCAGTATGATTATTGCATTTCAGCGATAAACTGCTTTATAGTACTATATATTTATGCACATATCGCTATTAACAATGCAAAAGACTATTAATGACTTACATTACGCCGCCAAACCATTAGAAACAAAGTTAATTATGTAATAGTTTCGTTATAAATACATACATACTGCATTTTAGTTCATTCGATGATATTTTTTTTTTTTTAATTTTAACACTTACGGTCACCTTTTTAAATATGGAACAAAACGACCCATACAGGGTTAATTTTTTTACGGAAAGAAGAAACATCATACCCGGAATCAAGATAAATAACGAGCTGTTTTGACGGGGTCGGACCCAAGGAAGAGGGGTGTTTTATGGGAGGGATTGAGCTGTCATGTGAACAGGTGGTTATTGTCTTGGGGGGGAGTTTCCACATGCCAGGCACTCATTGGGGATATCGGTATCGAGTCTGGACGGAGTCAAGATGGCTACAATATCCTGACCATAACTGGGCCAGAGTAGTGGGGGTCTCTCGTGGCAGTCGAAGCTCCGAGTCTGTGATTCGGATCCGATCACAGCGTTCATGGTATGCATGCCATTGATCAATCGTCGGTACGTCTTCGGGTCCAGTGTTTGGACGATGTATGTCTGCACCGCGTCCAAGTACTGGAGAAGTACTCGAAAAGATGCCTTTTAACATGCCTGGTTGGAGGCTCTACATCAAGCACGGATCTGTTGGGGTGCTCATGCCTGTGGCATCCGACCAGAAATTGCTTGCTGAGCATTTGTCATTCTACCTAACGGGAAACATTTGAGCTCACTGTATAGGTGTCGCTCAGGCGACATCAGAAGGCATCCTGTCGCTGAACGGAGTGCGGCGTTCTGACAAGTATGTAGCTTCGTCCACTGCGTCCTGCTAGTCCGCGGCGACCAAATAGGCACAGAATTATTACCGACTTCCGGTTTCGATATGTAATTTTTTTACCACAGATTCGGATTCTGCGCTTAAAATAAATACATTTTGTCGGAAACTTTTTTCTGGAATGGACATAGATCACCCTCGACTTGGTAATTCATATTTTTGTATTTTTCAAAAAAAAAAATTTCCCTCCAGTTTAGAGGAGGTGGAAGCGTGGTCTAGGACACCCCTGGGATTAAGGGGTTAAATTTTCTTGGAAATAATTCTACTGAAATAATTAAAATATTATGAAACGCGTGAGCTGCACGAGGACAAGGAGGCAAAAATATGCCGCAGATATAACGAAATAGGTTCGACATTACTTTCAAATTTAACTCTTTGATGCTTTCAAAGCAAGTTTTTTTTGTTGTTAAAATAAAGCGATATCGAAGTGAGCAACTGTACCGATGATTACAGGGTGCGGCAGTGAAAATACATACATCCGAAACATAAGTAATACAACATGAAAATAGGCTTCTTATTGTCGCTAAATTTTTTTCATTAAACAAAAATTTTTTTTCGTACGAAATGTTTCAATAAAGGGGGTATCCCTTTGTTCGGTGTAAAGGTCTTGGATTATTTTTTTCGAGAATTGAACGCTATACAAAAAAGGTGGAAAAATGACTTCAGACCTTTTTTGGAGAGCGTTTAATTCTCTCCAAAAATAATCCAAAACCTTTACAGTATAACGTATCGTTCGTTAAATATAAAAATCAGAAGTAAAAGAAACACTTCGATTTCCCATAAGATTAACACAGGAAAAATTGTTTTTTTTTACTTCTGATTTTTATATTTAACTAACGATACGACGGAAGGTCGTGTAAAGATCGAGGTCGGTCAAAAGTTATTTGAGTTCGAGGACGTTTTTTGTAGAGCGTTTAATTCTCTTTAAAAATACTCCAAGACCTTTACAGTACAATGTATTGTTCGTTAAATATAAAAATCAGAAGTAAAAAAAAAAACAAAATTTCCTGTATAATTCTTATGGCAAATCAAAAAGTGCGAAGCGGACATTCTTAATATTAACATATTTTCTGAGACTTATTTTGGCGTCAAATCGAAACTTTAGATCATGATTCGGAGGAAAATATCACTTTAAAGGTATATAAAATCTCTTTCCAAAACATATTTGTGTTTTAAAATCGAATAAGAAAAAATCAAGTAATGCATAGAGGAATGCATCAACCCAGGAGATAATTTGGGTGGGCCTTCTTAAGTGAAGGCATTCTAATGAGCTTACCCAAGGGCTGAAAAACTGCTTCCTTGTATGCCTTCTAGAAAGGCTCTTTCTATTTAAAATTTACGCGAATGTATAAGTTTCTATTATCTAGCATTACAAATGAGTTTCAATATGCATTTTAAGTTGCAATGAAACGTATGAACCTTAAATAAATACTTTAAAGAAATATAATATTTAAGAAATAAAAAAGCAGCTTTAAAAGAGCTCCTGCAAAGGTCCTTCTGAAGTTCGTCTGAGGGTTCAGAGACAATAAGAAACCTACTTTAACGCTGTATCCGACCTTACCTGCACACGTTATGCTTCGGGTGTATTCCGTTTTTTTTTTTTTGTAGCACTGTATTATGGAAATGCATTTATAAGATAATTTTATTCGTAATGAAATCAAAAACGAGTAAAAATACCGGGAAATGCATACTACATTTTTCTAATATACATAAGCTGTAAATCGTTACCTTAATATACATACAATGCCCTATCTCACATCGTCGCTCAAATGCAAAAAGGCGTAACTAAAACTTTTTATTGCATAAAACGATGTGGGGACTTATAATGCGATAAAATGCATCATAATCAATGAAAAGGTTTATTTTGGATTTTTAGTTAGTTGCGGCTGTTTTCTATTTCAGCGACGATGTGAGATAGGGCCCTTCTATATTAAGGTAACGGATATAGTTAACAAGTAACTTATCAATTATTGTAACATTTCGAAAATTGCACTTTAAAGGCTGTTGCAATTTGTATTTAAATATTTTGTACAAACCTTCCGTATTACTGCATTTCCATTATAATAAATTGGCGGCTCATTAAATTCCTCTTCAATCCACGAAACGACTTTGTCGGATACAAAAGGAGGTACAGGCACACCCCAGAGGCGTTTATTAGCCTCAGGTTCCTCGCTCTCCGGTGAAATATTGTCAAAGCTTAGACGTAGCGATGATGTAGGCGAAAGCGAGCGTTCAATTTCATTAAACTTATTCATGAATTTATTGAAATTCATAACGTCCACAGTTAATGTATTAAGCGCAGATGAATTGAGGAAGGCCAAAATTTTGTTTGTGCCAATTTACGTTGCTCACTGTCACAGTCGCCTATAGTTTATTTAATCAATAAATATTTTAATATGCATAGAAAGGAGTTAAAGCCGAAAACCTAATACACTAACCGACACACAAGTGCGAAGGGCAATAGCACGGGGTGGAGATTGTTAGCGTATCAATAAGAACAAGTATTTTAACATTTTATATCGATTCACACAAATACTTTCACTTTCACAAATTTTTAAGCACTGCGTAGCTACCGCGTAGGTGGGAACACGCGAAATCGGGGTGATAAGGCGGTTGGTTAACAATCACCAGAGGTGAAGATGGATTTTATTTAGAAAAACCACGCACGAATCTCCGACAATTGTTGTGTCACCTTGTAGCGATAAACTTATACTCAAAAACAACTCAGCAAAGAAAAGCGAGAGATCTACAATTGGTCTCGGCGCCAAATTTATTGAGCAGTTGGAAAATTCCAGTCGGAGGAAATTCTTGTATGTACTGGAATTTGGCTGAAAGTTTATTCGGCGAATTACCTACGCTTCATTGATGCAACTGTTAGAGGCTATTGGCCGTTAAGGCAATAATATGAAGAAGATAAATTTTGAATTGCTTCAAATACGTCTGCTTTATTTATGAAACAAGTACTTAATGCTTGATTTTAACAAACACAAAACTAACACTGATTTTCTGCACATCTAGGAAAAGCTGAGCAATAGCATTCCCAAATTTGTAGGCATGCGCAATGGAGCAAGAACAATTTAAGGCCTATTTATTTTTTTACTATTTTGAATTTTAAATCTGTGTAACTATTAACAAAAATTCAGTAATAATAGTAAGAACATTAAAAATTATGGTAATCAGGATATTTCGTAGGTATATGTATAAGGGTCAGTCGATGTCAAATGGACCAAGGCTGGAATCGACCATTTTTGGATAGGACGAATTTTGGTCAGAACTTTTCTTTTATCATATAACAAAGTTCCGTCAAGAAATTTTTTTCTCGAAAGCTCAAAATTTCCCGGATTTAGCAAGTTTATTTTTTGAATATCTCATAAATTGTTATAGTTACAAAATGTAAATAACATAATAATAATAATAACAGGGTATATAAAAACATATCGTCGTTTAAAGTACAAAACCGCGTACCAACAAAATGCAAAACCGCGTATGTGAGGTTGCAAAAATAATTTTCTAGAGAGTAAAAACAGTCATATTTCAAAATGGTTGTCTTTTTTATAGAGCAATCGCGCTTTTGGCTGGTATATTTCAGGACGAATGTATAAAAGGAGCCAAGAGCTTGTGTGATAAAATCCAATTTTTGGCAGCGAATTTCAGTTACGCGGTTTTGCAGATTGACGATACGCGGTTTTGTACTTTAAATGACGATACATTTACAGAGAAATTCGAAAATTAAAAAATTAAAGAATTTTGAAATTTGAAAAATCGTTAAATCAAAAGCTTACCTACATTTTTGGTAAACAATTTTTATTCAATACCCCTTATCTTAAAAGATACTGAAATTTTCAAGGTAAGTTGTTTGAGATATCACCTTTTGAAAAATTTTTTTTTTTTAAAAAATTATCCAAATTGCATAGGAAAAATAAATATAAATTAAATTAAATTTGTTTAACATAAACTTATTTGTGTGAATAGCTTTTTTCCAAATTTTAAAAACATGTTTTTTAGCCCTAAATATCACCTTTAAAGCGATACCAGAACCATTTTTGTAACTATAATAGTTTTTGAGATAAAAAAAAATAAATACGCCCCAGCAAAGGGAAATCTCTTTCCCCAAATAGGTTTAAAAACTTTGCCGCCAATAGATTTTTTACTACAGTTTTGAAATAAATTTGATGAATACAAAAATTAGTATCCGCACCGACTTCGTTGTTCAAGGTACTATGAAAATGTATTTGTCTCCGTCACCAATTTAAGATTTTCTAAAAATATTTGTTACGTTATTTGTACACTCCCGCCAAACAATTTTTGTTGCCGGCAATAAGAAAACGTCTCGCTCTGCGAAAGAAATTTATAGCCGGCAATATTGCCATTGTATCGGTTTGCTATTACCAGTCACTCTAAAACGTCTGCCGAAGGCTACTCGCCTGACGAGTCGGTTTCTTATTACCTGAATGAGTCGTTTTCTTGTCGCTTCGGGCGATATTTGGAATAACTTTATTCTTTTTTATACTTCATTAATTTATTTTTTTTTACATAATTGGAACTTAGACACGAAATTAATTCTTTCTTTCGCTATGGGGCTTCCTCTTTTTTCAATCCTGTCTTTGGAATAAATTATACGCTTTTGGATAATACTGTTGACGCGAAATTTATAAGCTTGAGAATTTTTGATAATTTATTTATTCCAAAACTGGCATGAAACAAATGATGTTGCCGATTTGTCACCACAGCAATAAATCGGTGAGTCGCCAATTTGTTGCCATTAACGATTGTTGCCTCTTTCTCATGTTTTCCATGGTGGGTTGTAGGAAGATTTCATGCAATGAAAAAAAGATATTTTGTCACACTATAAAATTTTTGAAAAAGAGCCCGTTTATATGCCAAGAATTTTTAGTGAAAAAATTACTATAACGGGTTGGCTATCCATTAATGTAATTATTATTATGTTTTTGTTGTAGAAGACTGTTCCCAAGTAATTTGTTTTTCGGGGTGTATTAAGATGGTTTCCATTTCTCATTCACATTTGCGCTTAGTTTAGTGTTGCACAAGAACAGCACCAATCGACCGAAAACCTCTAGTTTCTGCATTTGTAGACATATGTATGTTTGTATGTACCATTTATACATACATATATGCGTAGTTATATATCCTTTGAGATATCTAATGCAACAGCCAGATTTATCGACACTGAGGCAAACATACGACAGGCTGGTCTAAGCAACCGGATTGAAAAATATATATATATACATATACATATATTTCTGTCCAAGAACTGGCTGACTTTATATAACTAAATACATACATCTATATACATATTTGGATGTACGACTTAATACCATCCAGCCTCTTTAGTTATATTGCGCGCCCGGTATCGATTTTACTCTTTAAATTGAGCATTCGGATTCACTTGCTTGTTCGGCATCTTTCTAATGTAACACCTGTAGATAACGATTGGCCAAACAATTTAAAGTTTTGGTAGGCGTCTCAAAATAAATATTTACTAATTTAGTAATCTCCAATAAGCTTATAAGTAATAATATATGTACATACATTGAAAATGGTGACTCAACCAGCACCGGCAGGTCACAGGACGAAATAGTTTAAGAGGGCTATAAGAGCAAAGGGAGCGGCAGTTTTCAGAATATATGTATGCATATATGTACTTGAACAGATTATCTACATATCTGTTTAAAAAATAAGCATTCCGCGTCCTTTAACCTAAACTTGAAATACCAAAAAAAAATAAGGTTACCTTGGCCAATTTGATGTCGTCCATGTTCCTTGAATCGTTCGATTTTTTCCCAAGCCGTAGTAAAAAAGTATGCGCTGTTCAAGTTGTATGCACAATTTTTTCCACAAGCAAACTTTCACTTGAAACGTCTTTCGTCTCGTACAAAAGCAGAAATATTCACTTTATAATTATTTGCGGTTTAGTTAACAAGCATCGTCTATTTAGATTTAATTAAAATTTATATATGTAAATTGATTTATATTTTAACTGAGAACGGGGAACTCCTTTTCGAGGAAGGGACGACAAATTTTCAGCCCTTGAAACATTAAAAGGCGAATAGCGAAAAGACAACAAAACTGATGACATTGCAAACGTCAAAAATACACGAATACTGATAACAAACAATATTGCCAGATAGATTAACAAGGTCGTAATGGATTGCCGTTACGCGAGGCTTACACGTTCACAAATTGGCATTTAATGTGCAAATTGAAAGCAATTTTGTTAACCCGTTAACGTATAGCTAGATTTGATTTCAACTATGAAAGTTGGATCATGGATTCGAGTGTTTACGAGTTATTACATATAACGGTTCAACTCAGGTAGGCCAATTGTTTTTTTTTATATATTTCCATAATTGTTTTTAAATCCACATACGTATGTATATAATAAAAAAAAAACGGAAACGTTTTAACTTCTTTTATTTTTATTGCAAATGTCAAAATAAGTGAGCCAGTGTTTAAAAACTTTTTTATTGTAATTATCTCCATTGTAAATGTCTATTAGGACCAGGTTAGGTTAAATATATTAAATTAGAGACAAGCATGCTAAAGTTATACTATTACCTAATATGTATATAAAATAGTTTCAAGGAAGTAATCAGAAGCATTTTCATCCTCCGACTTGACAAAAATTGTAATAAAATCTTTGCACATGCTATTATTAAAAAAAATGCGATATTTTTCAACAATAACTATAGCTTGAATTTGCTTGGTGTATAGTAACAAGCATCAAACAAAATGCAAACGAATTGAACCCATTTTCTATACACCAGTGACATACATTTTTAGGTAGGTACAAAATTCAAAGAGTCATTTTCTCAAGCCAACATATTTCGTCCAGATGCCTTTGTTGTCAAAGTAAGATTTATTGCGAGAACATATAATAGCATCCTTGAAGGTGGTGGCATATGTTTCCGGAATGGCGTTGTTCTTATACAAGTTAAACAAGAACTCGTATATCTAAAAAAAAATATTTGATACTAAAAAATTAATATACAACTGTAAAAAATCAAACCTTCGCCTCCTGATCCTTCCAAAATACGTGATCACACAGAAACTGCATACTCTCCGGGAAAAGCGCAAAGCGATCTTTACGTTGTGTTGCCACAGCATCCAAATTGCACAACAGCACTGCACAGCCGGAAAGCACAACCACAGCTAAAATGAAAATATCTAAAAGATATAAAACTTTATCTAATTTTTCTTTGTTGGACGACTCCGCTAAGAGCGCCTGTATTTGAAGAAACATTTCCATGATCCAGTTGCACGACTGTTCATCGTTATTAAAGGCATATAAAGTGGCAACAAGGTGGCGGAAGAAGAATGGCTGCTCCTCACGCCGGTTGGCATACGCATCGATAATTGGTGTAAGCCATTTTAGTGGGTTAGGCAGCTGCGTGTTATACAGCACCAGGTAGCAGCGTATGATGGTGGCCTTTTTCAGTTTACCTATGGGGGTTTCCCACCAATTGACGGGCGATGTGAGACCATCAATGGAATTGGGATGCAGAACGGAGACAACCTCTGTGTAACGCTCGAAGAGCTGAAAATAAAAGATAAGATATGAGTAACATAATTGCGTGAAGAAAAATACTACGCACTCTCGAATCCAAATCCATGGAATCCATATAACGCTCAACAATCAACGTGAAAATATCAAGAACTTCTGGAATGTCACATTTTCCTAGAAATATGTACTTCACACTGTCTATGAACTTTTCAAAGAGGCATCCTGTAAAAATAAAAGCATTTTTAATTTTTTCGAATGTATAAATACTTATTTATGTACATATCGTCGTTTAAAGTACAAAACCGCGTATCGTCATTCTGATGCAAAACCACATAACTGACATTTGCTGCCAAAAACTGGATTTGCTCACACAAGCTCTTGGCTTAATCCTTATCCATTCGTCCTGAAATATAATAGCCAGAAGTGCGATTGCTTTATAAAAAAGAGAGCAATTTGAAATATGAGTGTTTTTACTCTCTAGAAAATAATTTATGCAATTTCACATACGCGATGTTGCATTAACTTGGTACGCGGTTTGGCATTTTTTTATACTCGGTTTTGTACTCTAAACGACGATATGTATATAGTAGTATGACTGGGGTCCTACCTTCCGTAAAGCCACTCAACTGTGATTCTTTGAAGCTGTAAATCGCTATTTTTTCGGCGAAATTCTTTAAAATTTGCAAGCTAATGCCGTTTGCAATTTCCGGTAGTAAAGAGAACAGAAGCAGTAGATCCTCTTCAAAACAATTCGGTTCGAAATCAGCCAGAAAATTTTCCAACAAGCGCTTTGCAGTACCCGAATGTAGCAATTGGTTCTTAGCGATCAATATGCAATATTTTCTTGCCTCAAATGAGAGATGGAAAAAACTATGCAGGAAACACCAATCCAGCGGTGGTATGGGCTTCGGAAATTTTTTTGATATTGCTCTAAGTGCATTTGTCACTACATGAGGTTCTGTTACGTGGTCACCGAATCGTGACTGGCCTACCAAGTAGCTTACAACTGCACGCAACGGACTCTGTGGAAAGAGTCCTTGCAACTTTCGTGGTTCCGGCTTGCCTTCGGGCAACCGGTAGACGCCACTGCGGTAGCTATTAATTTCAGCATATATATGATGTGCGATTAAATCTGCCACAGCGGATCCGCATTCTGGACGTATATTTTGTAGAAGACGTACCCAAATCTCGCCAGGCACCATTTCCTGTTGCAAATCAACCACCTCACGACCACCAATAAACTCGCGAACTCCTGGTATATCCTGGCGATATTGAATTGGTATGTGACGCATTGCCAGCAGCGTTCCTATTTCAAAACTTTTCAAAGCTGACAGCGCTTCTCGCACAATTTCAGCCTCGGAATCGGTACGGCTAATTGTAAGCCAGAGTTGCTCTAGAGCTTCATCTACGAGTTGCTCATATTCTAGTGTGGGCGTGTGCAGCAACGGTATATGTGAAAAGAATCGATAAAGTGACTTTAAGGCACGCGGACGTCGTTCGTGGCGAAATTTGTTGCTTAGCACACGCCATGTAGAAACAATATTTACAGTATGGCTATCACAAAGGGCAACAATAGCGTCTAGAGCAAGTGAAGTAGCTAAGTCGCCAGAATCGTCGGTGCAGGAGTTAAGTGTATCAGATAGATGCGAAACCAAATCGGAACCATGATGTGTCGGTCTAAATTATAAAGTAGCAAATGATTATTAAAATACTGATTTTACACGGGTGGGCACTAACTTGTCATAACAGATTTCGCGAATGGTATGAGTTTTGGCTATCTCGAACTCCCAACGCTTGCTGCCATCTTTCTGTGGTGTGGATAGTAGTTTTATCAAGAAAGGATATGTGCGCGACTCGACACGCCATAAACGCAGATACAGATCCATACAAAATGTAGCATTTTCGGAAGTTAGATTACGTATTGTATTCAAAATCATTGGTATGTTATCCTATAAAATATTAAAGAAGTGTAATATGTAAAAATTCGGCGATTTCAGAAATTTTTAGAAAGGTACCTTTGATACAGAAAAACTGGGCAAACCCCGTAGTAACTCCATTTGAATCTCAGGTTGTTGCTCTGCCGCCAATTTGAAAATATATGTCATTAGAAAATCGTAAGCAATACCGCTGTTAACTTTGATTATTTCTAAAATAACTTCATAAATTTTAAACCAACAATCTACGGATGGTTCTCGCGATAAGAACAGCGCACGCAAAAACAAATGTAATCGCTGACAAAACATGGAATTCGCTTTAACATTGAGTACGTCAACAAATGCGAATACATCTTTAAATTCAGAATCGTCAAAAGATTCCACCAACTTGGCTAGATCGAAGGCAATAGCAATATCCGGATGCATGTAGCGAACTTGTCCTGCTTGTAAATCATTCGTGTGTACCGTAAAGTTTTTTGTTTCCTTGCCTTGGGCAAGTATTTTCCGCACAATTTGGTGAGCGAGTGCCAGACCTTCTGCGGGTATGAATGCAGTCTGAGACATCCACTGGATGATACCATCGAGGCACATGTTCAGAATGTATTGATTCCCACAGCTTTCTTGCACCACTATGAAGGCAATTAAGCGCAGTAAATCATGCAAATAATTTGGGGAGAGAAGATGCAGAGACTCGGCGAAGAGTATGAGCAGCACATTGTAGTGATTCACAGTATGCTCGCGTGTACTATGCAACACACGTAATAAACAGTGAAGACTGGGACGTGGATCGATGCCGTATTTGGTAAGATTGTTTACTATCAACGCTTGGAAAATGCACAAATCAATGGCGGTGGTAAAATCGTTACAGTTAAGGCAGTGTTCTATAGCTTCAATTAGTAGTATGCTTGTGAACAGACATGTTGTTGAAGAGTTAAATTTACTCCACAAGAAGATTTCTTGCACCAGCTGTTTAGCGACGAGGTTTGTTTTGCTTAATGACAGTAAGCCAGTCCAAATAGTCTTTGAATCGGGCAATGTCTGTGGATTACAGAGTATATAAAAGAAAACCGGCCTTAAATATTCAACGCTGTGCTCCTTTATTCTGTAAGAAATGAGGAATTTGAATGAAAGAAAGTTAGTAGGGAAATTACATGTTACCTACTGCTGATCATGATGATTGCAAATACCGACAATTTTGTTGGCCACGTCATTTATGTTCACCGATGGATTTTGTAGTAATGTTATAATGGGATGTTGTTGCGTTTTCAGACCAAACTGACTTTGAAATACTTCGCTGCCTTTCAAAAGCGCAACCTTCCGTTTCAACCCAAGTAGCAGTATGCTGACAATTCCTTCGGTGATCGTGGTGTACTGCATCGGACTAGTTTAATTATAAATAAGTAAATGCATATATATGTATGCATGAGAATAAGTGTGTTTAAGTGGCGGGATTTGAAAAACCAAAGCAAATTAATGTAGGGATAAATCCCTACCTCTGCTCTACTAAGGAATTATATTTGAAGTCCAAAAATTAGGATAGGAGTCCCAGCCCTAATTGAAGCTTTCGTATTACCGAATATGGAATTCATTTGTTTTTTTTTTATCCTAATATGGAAACATTTTAATTTCATCATGCAAAAAAAAAGAATTCTAGAGAAATTTTAAATATTTCAGGTTTCTTTCTAATAATTACAAAAAGAAAAAAAAGAAATTGCAATTTGACCCTGGAGCTCAATGGCTTTCGGATACAGGCGATATCGTTCACGATGCATAAATTTTCAGTTTGCACACATAACGGTTTTATGTTACCTCTATTATTATGCAATTACTTACTTCTTAGACGTAAAACTGTTTACTGTTTCAGGAAGTAGTCAAGGTTTTTATGACGAACGCGTTTTTGTTTTTCATTTCGCTTTGTAAATAACCAGGATGCATACATATGTACATACATGCTTTAAATGCAAGAAATTGAAGTTCAATGTCGGTCTTTACTCACGGAAGTTTGTTAGTGCCACAATAAATGCAGTACATAAGTATGCATATTGATTGTATAATTGATAAGTATGTATGTAAGTACTACATTTTTAGTAACNTTCTAATAATTACAAAAAAAAAGAAATTGCAATTTGACCCTGGAGCTCAATGGCTTTCGGATACAGGCGATATCGTTCACGATGCATAAATTTTCAGTTTGCGCTCATAACGGTTTTATGTTACCTCTATTATTATACAATTACTTACTTCTTAGACGTAAAACTGTTTACTGTTTCAGGAAGTAGTCAAGGTTTTTACGACGAACGCGTTTTTGTTTTTCATTTCGCTTTGTAAATAACCAGGATACATACATATGTATATGCATACACATGTACATACATGCTTCAAATGCAAGAAATTGAAGTTCAATGTCGGTCTTTACTCACGGAAGTTTGTTAGTGCTACAATAAATGCAGTACATAAGTATGCATATTGATGTACTTGTTTATACATAAGTATGTATGTAAGTACTACATTTTTAGTAAGATTTTTATTTTACTGAATTTAAAAGCTTAAATATATTGCCACTAAAATTGTCCTTTTTGAATTTCTAACAGTATTAATGCGCGTGCGTTTATCAGATTAAGCATTTCCGGTTGAATTTTCGTTTGCATGTCTTTCTTTTTTTCAAACCATAAATTAACATTCTCTACAATAGAACGCCAGCCGTTAGGTCAATGTCTTGATTGTACAATTATATAACTACATACATACATTTTAAGCCGACAATTCGATTGTGGCAAGTTAGCACACATTTTGAAGTCAACAACCACACCGCTACTGGGAAGGTGTTGCCAAATATTGGGGTCACCATGTCACCACCACCAGGCAAGTCAATGCCATGTGTCAGAACGCTTAATAATACCTTCGAACGTGTAGTTAAGATTAGCATAACATTGGTTCCTTAATTTCATATTTAAGTCGTTTCTTTGAAAGTGACATAAATCATTTCATGCCGTTTGGCTTCAGTGACCATTTACCTGTATCTGAATGCGTCTGTTATTTGTTTAACTTTATCAGCCATAAGGTAAAAAGTTTTTTGTCATTAGTTTATGACAATTGAACGATTTACAGATGCATGCAGTTAGAAGCAACCAACCATTTAAGCACAAGAGGTGGAAATGACTTATGCCACTTTCACAATAAACGGATCATTTGTTTTGTAATGAAGTGAGACATTTCGACTTGCTAATGGATATGACTTATTACTATTGTGGTACTAATTATTTAGAAATTACTGCGGAAGCTTGAAAAGACAGAATGACTGATGTATAAAACGGGCGGCGAGAATACTAAAAAATTTGCCGATAATTACCAGAACAAAACATTATTTGAGGTAACGATGTTCTTTGTAGAATATTTAACAACGACAAAATAACTTACATTGGGCATTAACTCTGAGTGAGCAATAAAACCATACATCTAAAACCACTCATTCATAGATGTATTCATGTTCATGCCAAGTAATATCTAATGTCGTTCAGAAATGTTCCCCCTTCACAGGCATTCGAACATGCAATGACTCGAAGCTATAAAGAGCAAAGTAATTGTCTTAAGTGCGCTCATTCTAAACCCGTATAAATATGTAATGATTTTAGGCATTAACTGTTGGCGCATATCTTCAACGGAAATAACGATGTGAAGTAGTTTTGCGGAAGACCAATTGCACGACAGAAAAAAGGTGCAGCAAGCTAGTGTTGCAACATAGTATTGTAAAAAGTAGCAGCAACTATGCCAACTAAAAGGATACAATTGGCTATGGTAATATATGCGCAAAGCCTTGAAGTCATTTGCTTTTGATTCGCACCCATTTCCGGTACAAAGACAAAATAAAAAAGTGAGCAGCAAGCATATCCCTCAGGTGGCACAAAGTCACAACTAAGTAGTGCATATGTCGCTACAACAACCAACCACAAGTGTTTATTTGCTTTAGTTACCAAAAACGAATGCAAGAACATTAATTTACCTGGAGTTAGGCAGCATGGAAATCAACATTGTTAGCACATTCGTAGTTTCTAAGACACCATCCTCTACTAGCCGCACAAACGTCTGGGAGCTCAGTAAACTCAGTTGAACAATATCCGATTTGCATTGCGTTTTTAAAAACTCAATTTCCCTGATGTTATGTTCAGCTATTTTCTTCTCCCGGCTTTCGGCGATTTTCTTGAAAATTTTTTCAAGGCACGCCGATATTTTCACAACCGACGATGCGGGCGTTATGTTTTTGAATTCATCCATTGCTCTGGCAAAGTTTATTGTGTAATTACTTCACGGTAGGGGAACTTTACAATATTTTCTTTACTTTAATAATATCCTTCCTGGTTGCAACATGAAACCTACTACATACATGTAGCCAAAACACCTTCCGCTTATGCGCGCTCAATAACCGACCATCCATTCACATTGATCCACAAACCAAAACTCACTTTTGTGGGGTTTCAATTTGGGTTTTACACTTGAAATTGCGCAAGGCGCATGTCCTTTTTCGGCGAATACGTTTGCAAAATAATTGGCGGCTTTTACCAAAACAAAACAATAAACATCTGATTTTGACATTTGTAAGATTTTGGCGCTGCCATATTTTTATTTGCTAGAAACGAAACGAAATCACGGTTAGTCTTAGGACGACACCTAGCGTTAAGTAGAAAGATTGCTATTGAGAAATTTAACCCTGCAATACATGGTTGGTCGAATTAGGAGCACATGAACAAACAAGTCTGAAAATTTGCAACTATTAGGAAAGAGTGAAAGTATGTGTTTGGATACAAAAAAATCGAATACTTCGAGTCGTCTTCCAATGATTCTAATATGGGTTTCTTGAAAAAAAGGGTTATATTTAACTCAGTCTCCACGCCTTCCGACAACTTGCGCAATGCACCGTTGCTCCACTGAATACACAAAACTCCCCCTCCCTCGACTTTTATCCCGCTCCAATTGTGTGAGCTGTTGTTGTTGTTGTGGCGGCTAGCAAGTGTGGGGAGCTCTTACAGGGCGGTGCCTTCCTACCGCTTCTGTTCAATTTTTACCAGACGGAGTTTGCTGGCAATATTATTGCTGACCTTCGCCCCAAAATGAACGAATACCACTCCGATCTGGCTCACTTCCTTACCGCAAGGTGCCTGATCCTGTTATTCATGAAACCCTCTACAAGCAGCTTCACCACATGGACAAATGAGGTCAGAGGTCGATGGAGTACACATTCCATCTGTAAGGGTTCGTTCTGACAGTCTGTTCTCTTTCTCTGCGTTGAAACGTTGTTTACAACATGCAATACAATTTACTATTCAGCGCCTATTTGGTAACCGAGGACTAGTGTGACGCACTTGCTAAAGCTATTCATAAGGATGCCACAACATAGCACTCCGGAGAGCTAAGCTAAGGGATTTTTTCTCATGTCTCCAGAACACCGTTTAGATAGCGAGACGCAGAAACAGATAATAGTGCTGAGAAAGTAGTTTCTAAATACTTGCAACCGATGCGAGCACCTAAACAGGCACTCACTGGAAGCAGAAATTTCTGTTAAGCGCGTAAGAACTGCTGTGGAGGGTTACACTCCTGCTTACATAGACTCGACCTACAGAAAGTTGAGCTTGCTTGACGACAACTATTGAAAGGTTAGCTAACCTAAGTAGCCGCAGTGAGAGTATTGTCCCCAATCCCCAAAGCAAATTGTCCTGGTGTCCTGGTCCACACTTAAATTGTCCTGGTTTTTTTTTAATGAATCTAATGATAAGTAGAATTTTGCTTTGAAAAAAGATCAAGCTTTTTGTCATTAGTAGTCGAAAATCGGCAATGAAACATTTTTTCTAAAATGTTGAGGAATATCTGGTAAGCTTACTTTCTTTCTGTTTAGTTTATTTGGTTAAAATCTAATTTTGTATCTTCTGAAGGTCTTTTAAAGAAGTTCTTTTAAAGCTGTTTTTAGTTCATAAAAATCGTCCTGGTCTGTGGGTTCAGGACTATGGCAGCCATAGCTTAGCATCAAGCAGCAGAAAAGACAAATCTGGTACTCTTCATCAGGAAATACAAGGTTCCGAACTGGATGGGGGGAAAGTACCTCGGAGCAATATTCGATAGTAAGCTGTCGTGGCGCCTCAATGTGGGGGAGAGGGCGAAGAAGGCCACTGTGGCATTATATGCATGCAAAAAGATGCACAGCTGCACCTGGGGCTTGTCGCCTACTCTTTCTCACTGGATCTTCACGGCGATAGACAGATCGATACTGTTCCAGGGAGTATTGGTTTGTTGGGCAGCATTGGAGACGAAAACAATTCTTAAGAGCATAGAAAGTGCATATAGGCACACCGGCATCGCGGGCAACGAGGGTGCCTTGTCATGCGGATAGAGGAGGTGCCGATTTCCCTCCAAGCGATTAAACGGAACTTCTTCTGTCCATGATTCGGAAGACGCAGAAGGCGTGGAACAAAACGCAAGGCTGCAAAGCTGCAGAGCACGAAGTTTCTCCTTTCCCCTCAAGAGAGAGTATGCTAGGTTACTGTTGGGTGTTCTAACTGGACATTGCTTGCTGACATCGCACGCCTTTAAACTGACTAATGATAAAATCTGCAGAACGATGGAGGAGACAGTTGAGCATATCCTTTGTGAGTGTTCTGCCCTTATCAGACTGCGGGTTAGTCTGCTGGTAGCAGGTTTTCTACCTAATCTGGAACCCGACGCCAAGGTAGAGTATATCAAGGTGCTCCAGTTTGTCAAGAGGCCGGCGGTGTTCTTCAACATTACTCCTGCAGCCATATTCCTAAATTTGCTATCGCTAATTTTGATCGCCAAAAATCTCCAAAACAATAGCAGGCGTGCCTAACAACATGCAACATCTAGTTACATGCTCTGCATATTGCCAGCTTTGGTTGACTACATGTTGCATCTGTTAATTTTCCACGTTGTATACTTTTAGGCTCAGCTGCTTTTCGCTTAGAAAATATTGGTTACGAAAATTAACGTGGCGATTGCCCGAATTCCACTGCTGGTACGCAGTGATAAGCTGTCCAAAGTGGTCGTAGGTTATCTGGTAATGCCACGGATTTTAATGGTCCCACGCAGTGGCTGGCCACCCTGACCTAGACACGAAGTGCGGCCAAAGTTTTAAAGATGAATCTGGATCTTTGACTTTTATATACTTCTATTCGGCGTATTTACAGTAGTTACATATATGTTCATAAAAGCTTTTGAGCACTCTTTATCGAGCCCTGACCGCCAAAATAACGTAAGCGAAATCAACGCGATTTTTTAGACGCTTAAAACTTTCACTTGTTTCACTAGAATTACATAACCGATCTATCCGCGTACCAAAAACTTTTCCCAAAATTCAGATTAAGGTTCAAAATTTAGATGAAAATTTGTTGAGTTTTTCTACGTTCTGTATAAAGTTTGAAATTTTGACTTATGTGGTTTCGATTGAAGCATGAACCATGTTAAAAAACAAAAAATAACAAAAAAATTTTAACTTGAAAAACATTGCAAATATTAAACAACAAACACAATGCACTCGCTTTTGATTGCCAGTGTATGTATGTATGTGTGAATGTTATTATCTGACTTATAATTCAGCGAAAAAACCCAACAAGTTGCACAAGTGTTCACAGAACTTGGTTAACATACAAGCAATATTTTGCCATCGTTTTTACCAACACAAGTTTTTAGTTTAAGGTTTTCCTCAAAGTCGCTAACTTTTCGAAAAGTAAATCAACAGAATACAAAAGTTATGTTTTAACTTACTTCTTAGATTTAGGGCCGTTTTCTCATGATGTAAACTTTAACTTTAAAGCTCACTTTATATTTAAAGGTTACATTAAAATTTTAGATTGTGCTAAAGTAAAGCATTTCTATTATTATTTAAAACCGATAATAAAATGCTTTACTTTAGTCACAACCATACATTTTTATGTATGCCTTAAATATAAAGTGAGCTTTACAGTTAAAGCTTGCATGAGAAAAAGGCCCTTAGGCTGTATGCATAATATTCATAAGTTACAGCATAAAATTTTGCGAGAAACTTAAGAAACCCGAAACTAACCAAAATAACAAAATGAAAGTGAAATCGAAGCAAAATCAACGGAAGAACGCTCCTTTTATTTACATACATATTAGAGCATTCAATCCCGAAGCATTTTAACAATCTCGGGATTTCGGGATGTAAAAATTCTAATCCCGGGATCCCGAAATTTTTCGGGATTTCGGCTTCATAATAACTTTTTATATTTTACAGTAGGTTCGCCTTTTTCAAACCACACAGATTCATTGTCAACACATTTGGTCTTAGGGGCGCATAATGCTCCTTAGTACGACAAGTCTAAATCGGAGTAAATGCGGCGATAAATCGTACTCATGTAGCTTGATAGATATTTTTATGCTGGAACCTAGTACTATTTACATACTATCATACTACTAGCCCCGGCAAAGTGGAGGTTGAGTTTCCAACAGTGGTTCCAAAGATCCCTTCCTTGCCCACCCTGGCATTGAAGTCGCCAAGCACGATTTTGATATCATGGCGGGGGCAGCGCTCATATGTACGCTCCAAGCGCTCATAGAAGTAATTATTGGACGCCTCGTCCTTCTCTCGCGTCGGGGCATGCGCGTAGATGAGCGAGATTTTGAAGAATCTCACCTTGATGCGGATTTTGGCTCGACGTTCGGCCATCGTGGTAAACGACAGTACTCGGTGACGGAGTCTCTCTCCTACCACAAATCCAACACTCAACTCCTTTACGTAACAGGTGTGGTAGATGTCGCAACGCTACACGGTTTTCTTGCCTTACCCCGTTCATAGTTTTTCTTTGATGACGGTGATGTCAGCCTTTGTCTTTACGAGGACATCAACTAGCAGGGCAGAAGGACCTTTCCGCCCAGGTGTATACCCTCAAATAATCGCCGTTTATACGCTTACCGTGGTCGTCATCAAAAAAAGGTGGTATCATCCGAGGCATATTTTTTGTTTTAATTTGGGGGGTTTTAACGTGGTGCGGCCCAAATCCAGCGCATGCGAGGGGTCCCAAACGGGTGTTTAGTCGCTACCCGGTGGAAGCGTAGATTTAAATATCTGGATGTCGAGAGCTGCAATTTGAACCCTACCCAAAATAATCACTTTGGCCACTCCCACATGAATGATAGTCAAAAGCCTCCCCGCTTACGTGAACC